AAAACAAATGATCTCTCTTAAATTGCTTTCCTTCGATGCGCCATTTTTGAGTAAAACAATAAAAACCGTTCTATAGTCCGAGAAAATTAATGTAATAATTGAAGAATGCAATTTAGCAATAAATATCTAGTTGCTCTGGAATATGTTGGCTTTTGACATGTGACAGTCTCTGTTATTCAAATCTGTTCGCAGTGACATCTTTATCATTATTTAGTTTTTACAATCTAGTTAATAGCGGTGAATTATTCAAATCCAGAAATGGCGGAAATGCATTACGTATATGGCCTTGCCGACGGTAATGGTGAGCAAGCCAGGTGGATTTATCACCAGAGATATCCCGATCGTGCTTTGCCAGATAGTCGAACCTTTTCTAATATTCATCGTCGTCTTGTTGAAACTGGTTCTGTCCGAAAAGGAACATCTGAAGGTAGACCTCTAAGTGTGAAAATACCTGAAATTGAGAAGAACATCCTGAAACGAGTACGAGGAAGATCGCTGGACACTTAAATATTTGCCATCAAATTGTTTGGAGAATTTTAGTGGATTTGTTGCTATATCCTTACCATATTTTAAGAGTACAGGCATTACTTCCCATTGATTTTCCAAGGCGTGTGACCTTTTGTCAGTGGTATCTTCAAAAAATTACACAAAATCCGCAATTTGAATCAATGATTCTGTTCACGGACGAAGCTAATTTTTCTCGAAATGCCATTCAGAATTTCCGCAATAATCATTTGTGGGCAGAAGCAAATCCCTATGCCGTAACCGAAACCCATTTCCAACACCAATTTTCGGTTAACGTACTACTTTATTGGCCCATTCTTCTTGCCGGGACAAACTTACCTCAATTTTCTTTAACAACAGTTGCCTTTGCTGCTTTATGATGTTCCGTTAGTAATAAGAAACAATATGTGGTACATGTATGATGGTGCACCAGCACATTTCAGTGTAGCGGTTCGCAATTATTTACAAACTGTTTATCCAAATCGTTGGAATTGCCGCGGTGAGCCCCAATAATGGTCACCAAGGTCTCCAGACCTCAACAGTTTAGATTTCTTTTTGTGGGGCTATCTTAAGACACTATTGTACACAAGTCCCATTAACACTGTAGAGGAATTAAGAGAAAGAATAGTTGCAGCTTGTGATAGAATAAAAAACACTCCAGGGATATTTCATCGAGTGCGCCATTCCATGAGAAGGAGGGCGGAAGCATGCATACTAAGTGAAGTGGGCCATTTTCAACAATTTTTGAAATCATTTCGTTGGTTTTAATGTTATGTTTATGTTGTCAGTTGTTGTTGCTCATTACCCCTAATGTGTTTAATTTTTCCAATTAAATTAATAATAATTTTGCAAGTTAGACAATAGAACGGTTTTTATTTTTTTACTCAAAAATGGCGCATCGAAGGAAAGCAACTCAGGAGAGATCATTTTTTTTAATTTGAACGGGAAATTTAAAAATAATTTTTATTTGGAAAAAACCATTGGCGTACAATTTTTTTCTTAAGAAATATCAAAGTCAATACCCGTACGCACGCATCTGAAGCGGTTCTGAAAATATTAATTAATGTCCATTTTTTTCTTAAAACTTCAACACCCCGAGTTTTTGTAAGGAAACATTTTTGGACCATAGTTTATAAAGCAAACTAACATTAATTTCCCATGTAGATTCACACCTTTAAATTTTCGCATATCATTAAGGAACACCCTGTATATTTGAGCAACGTGCAATAACTTAAAAGGCACTAGCCGTTCCATATAGTTACTTTGAAAGTAGCGAATCTAAAATAAATCGCATCGCATTGTTTCGATACGAGAATAGCAACAAGTTCACATAATCTGACTCTACTATGATCTGACAGACTCGAACCCAATAGTATCTACCTCCTTCTCGTGCCCCTCACCATGACAAGCTGCCCGGTGCGTCCAGACAATGTACAGAGAAGCCGCCTTTTCGCTCTTAACTTTTTTTAACGACCGTTGATAAAAAATATAAACAGACACTACAGTATATTCAGATAAGAGATAGACCGGACATAAACAAGACCACGTGATCATCGAACGCTGTAACATTCGGCAGGGACGTATTAAGAGACACGCAGTACATATTTTAGATAGTAGATGCTGCTTTGCGTAACTTTGTAGTAAATTAGCACAATTCGATGTGTATACGATTGGTGATGGATATAGGATCATGTGGGGGTGGGGTAAGAAATATATAATGATGTAAATATACATAAGGGTTTCAAAATTTTCGCTTCGATTTCCAGCTTCGGATGCCGCCTGATGTTTGGTGAAATACAGTCGAATATAATATCAAAATGGCGTTTAAATTAGCCTAAATTAAAAATAATCGTATATTTCTTAAAATTGCTTTTAGAATATTGATTAGTATATTTTTTGATTTCTAGGTAAATATGTAACCAAATTACAACGTTCAAAACGTAAAAAAATGTGCATGGTTGAACATTGTCAGAAAGTAGATTCTTGAATAGGTTTTGCCAAAATGGGTTCAAAAATATCAATAAGTAATTAAAAAATACAGTAGCTTTATAATTACTTATAACTTACCGAATTTGATGAACGACATCTTTTATTGGAAAGATGAGCTTGATGAGCTTTCATCATCGCTACTGCCTGAAGCACCAACGTCAACAATGAATGGCTCGACTTGTTCCTCTAAAATATTGTCCAGTTCCCACATTCTCTTTTCAACTTTGTCTTTCACGTGCTTAATACAGTTTTCCCATTTTTGCGCTGTTATTAATTGTAGTGCTTCTTTGAAAAGTCCTTTGAGGACACAAAATTTAAAAGTTGTATTGTGCTTAGCTATATAATTTTTAACCTCTGCCCATATGAGCTCAATGGGATTGAGCTCGCAATGGTATGGAGGTAACCGGAGCACAGTTTTATTTTGACTTGCTGCCATTTCGTCAATGGCGTATTTTTGATATTCCGCCTTGTGATCCTTGACAATTCTTAATAATTGTACTTTCAGCATTGCTTCTTCAAAGTTGATATTTTTCGAGCGGAGCCAATTTTGAACATCAACTTTCCTTGAAGCCGTTGTTGGGACCTTCTCCAGTCTTCGAGAATGATAAGGCGCATTATCCAACACAATTACTGCGTTTTCCTCTAAGTTCGGTAAAATTTTTGAAAACCACTGTTCAAACGATTCGCCATTCATTTCCTCGTGGTAATCTCCAGTTTTCTGAGACTCAAAGCACCACAGACCGTCAACAACAAATCCATCCTCACTGCCAATATGGCAGATAATGAGCCTTTTTCCTTTACCTGGAAATCGAAGTACTAACTGGTGTAGATTTATTTCAATAAGCGAACCTTTTTCAAATGTTTTCATCACATTCAGCGAAAAAACATTGAGACATGAGTATCAGATTGCTATAATTGGGATTATTTAGTCATATTGAAAGAAAGAATATTGAACGTCGTATGATTACTCAGCGCTTCACAATTTAATTTAAAGTTATAAACCTTTAAAAAATGAATGATCAGGAACCTGAAATACGCGCAAATATTAATATTAACAAATTATAACTTTATAAAGCTTAAAGTATGAATTAAAATGATTAGAAATATTAGGAACGGTACACAATATAAAACTTAGTAACTTTTTTTAAGTTTATAATATTCGACATATTTTAAGATTATATTAAAAAATTATTGAAATATCGAAAACACATAAAAACATGGCTTAAAAAAGTTCTAACAAATGAAAATGACAATAAAACATCCACGCATTTTATCGAAAATTATAAAAGTTTTGTTACTTGTAATATGTTTTATCTGCCCCCTGGAATTAATGTTTAGAACCTTGTTCCCAAGGTTTGAAAAACATCCGATTGTTGTCTATTACTCGTATTTACCTGCTGGATTTTGTAATCCGGTGGACAGTCCATCTAGAAAGGCCCTCCTGGATGAAGTTACAGAATCATCAACCCATACTTTACTTGTAGTGTGTCCTGCGTTTACCCACGTTTCATCAAGGTAAGAAATCTTCCTGTTTTGATTTCTATATTTCCCAATTTTTGTTAAATAATCCCTCCTCCATAGCACAATTTCTTCTCTATCCAGTAGTAAACTATTACGACCCCGTTTTTTCCGTTTGGAAATTTAAATGCTTCAGTAACGCGTGGAAAGTTGATCGTTTGAAATTTGGCAACGTTGTATCTCCATTTACCTCCTGCAGTACTTTATCTATAGTAGGTATTTCATTCCTAAAGAAGAATTCATGCACTTTCCTCCTAATCGCATGCTTATCAGCTTCATCCAATGATTTAACAATACTTTTGCGATGTTTACTGGTCACTGGCTCAGAAAAAGTGTGATTTTTTTTGTATTGTCTTAACACATTAAACACAGATGCGCGACACACCCCAACTTTGTGAGAAACCTTCACAACAATTTCTTTGATGGTTGATGCCTCGTTCTCCTCGCGCTCGATCTTATATATATTCAAAATGACCTCTTTCATTTCTGCACTCAGGTGTCTTTTTTTAGAGCGTTTCCTAGGTGGACTACAGGAGTTTACAACTTCATCGGCAGTATCTGTACTACTGGGCATTTTGCGCAAGCAGTTGATAACAATAACAATCAATAACAAGGTATAACAATAACAACGACAAACTCAACAACTTAATAAGATAACAAACGAAAACGTCCAAAGAAATATCAAATTGCAATGATGCACACGACATACGTAACACGTCTGAACCTGAATGTGACTCTGCCTTGATACGACTGCTCTGCCGCTCGGCATAGGCATTTAATTGCGAATTGACCAATGAGGGCTCCTGTTTTACGTCGAGACGGCGGCGTTAGCGTGAAAATCACCCGAACCTTTTGTTTACATCCGGTCTATCTCTTATCTGAATATACTGTAAGTTTGTCGTGAACTGTACGTATATGTATGTACATGAACGTGGATGAACTTAAATCAGATAGATACCAGAATTATCATGTTTATTAGACATTTTTACCTGTCTGTGGTGCTTCAAAGCTGATCGCTTGACTCCTTGGTCCAACATATTTATCATTCCTCACAGCCACAGTGATAAAGTTTCTCGAATAAGGGAAAAACTGAATTGCTGTAGAAGTGACATCTGGCGGAATAGCATACACCTAGAACGAAATGTATTGCAGAAATTTTAACACGCCTAAAGGATTATATCAGAAAATTAACCTATAATATTTATTATTTTGCTTGAGTAGATCACTGAGCTGCCAAATGCTTATTGAACGATTGAAACATAATCAAACTCCTGAAACGTATCCATCCTGTGGTTTCATGTTTATAAAACTCCATTGTGTTGACAAATCAAACCACGCACATGTTTTGATTTCTCTTTATTGTGCGACGATTTCGCCACCTCGGTGGCCTTTTACTTCTTACGCCTACTGGCGAGAAACCAGAGATAAACCCTTCTGCGAGAAACTATTGTAACCGTGACATTTTTGTCACTCATCTCCGTTTGCATGTCGGTCGCGCTGTCTGTCGGTCCGTCTGCCGATCTGTCTGTCGGTCTGTTTGTCGGTCTGTCTTTCGGTATGTCTGTCGGACTGTCTGTCGGTTTGTCTGACGGTCTATCTGTCGGTCTGCCTGTCCGCTAATCCTATAACTACCTATATCTTAAGAAGTGCCCCTCGAATTTTAATGAATTTATACTATTACTAGTATGCCAAGGGCGGAAAATCTTTGTAGGTTCAGGAAATCGACCAAGTGGCGGCGGAGAAAAAACCAAAAATGATAAAAAAATTAAAATATTTGTGAAAAAAAAAATAGAGGCAAAAAGTTTGGGAGTGGGAGTTGTAGGGGCAGGGGGGTATATCTCATCTTTTTGATATTAGTATATTTATACGCTCCCAACCCTCCTTGTATAGATCTGCTTTACTAACTTTTTGTGCTGAACATAATCATTTATGACCTGATAACGGCTTTGCGACGGAAGTGCAGAGTCAACCTAATTGACGCCATTTTTGCAGGACAATACAATGACAATTGCGGTGGTGTGGTGGACGAAACGACATACAACAAAGAGAAATTAAAACATGTATGTGGTTTGATTCGGTCAGACAATGAAGTCATATTTAAAAATGAGTTTCGAATAATTTGTTCAACATTGCAATCAATAGGAACAGGAATTACTGTTTTAAAAACAGCTTAATTTATCAATTTCAATTCTACTGCCTGGGCGTCTTTTAGAGTCATGTGTCTTTGTATGGGAGGCATGCAAGTTATTTTATAGTGACTTGTCACATTATTTCCTTGTTTTTATACAAATCCTACAAATCGTATATTGTACATTGTGGAGGAAATACTTACTTGGCTAAGCGCATGGTTCCAAACCCTTATGAGGTACCCCCGAAAAGTTCCTCTAACCGACGCTGGATCTACAGAGTCCCATTTGATCAAGACGTCCCTGTCATCGAAGTCTATAAAGGTCAAGTTTGCTGGAGCTTCCAGCGGAATCAGTTCCCCTAGAGATTAAAAATTGTGCTAAATGTAAAATTAACTCTAGGCAGCAGCGGTGGCCGCAGTAGTAGACTCTTCGGTCTCCTGATCAGTCGCCGTGCGCTGTGCGGGTTCGAGTCCCGTCCGAGGAGAAATTTTTCTCTTGGCTATGGATGTTGTGTGATTGTCCGTAGGTGGTAGACGGTCTCTGACTGTCGAACGCGGAGGTACCACCCGGCGGATCTCGTAGGCGGAGCCAGAGCCAGAATGTGTGCATGTTGCATGCACACGTGTTCCCTCGCCAGAGTCCGTGTGGCGTTCCCCCTTTCCCATGTATCCCCCTATAGCCCCACGGTACCCAATGGGTTCTTAGGCCTTAGGCCTTCGTGGTAGTTGGAGTATAAAAAAAAATAATAAAGTGTTTATTGAAATCGCGATTGTTCTTGGTCGTGCTTAATTTTATTGAGCGGACACAAATCTAATTTTTCGACACTCTGGTCATTTAAGGCCGATGCCAAATGATTTCCTAAGGAAATAAAACATTTCTGTCAGTCGTGTTTTTTTTTACTTTTCACTGATAACGGCTAGAATGTTATATCATTGCTATAAAATCAGACTTAGAATATTCACTCTTCATCCCTTCGAGGGAGAAATACGAGCCCCTTCCCACTTCAGTTGGCCCAACTATTGATATCTTAGTTTTTCTTATCAAACACAAATAATAAAAATGTAGCAGGGTGTTATAGGTTTAAAATATCAACAATGAATATTTTGATAATATATAGTAGAAAACACCAACTTTATCACTCCCTAATCAAATTTGCAGCATAAAAATAACACATGTTGCAATTACAGCATATCAACCTATTTTCATTTCAATGCAAAATAAGTCTATAACGCATAGGTGGCTATGAAAAATAAAAGCCATGACAATTGTTTTTATTAATCACAGCAGTCAGAATACGTTTAAAATAGTTTTGGGGAGTTAAAGTTTTCAAAATGGGTAGAGGAAAGGTTATTAGTGAGAAAATTCGGTTACTGATAATTAAATTTTTTAATTCTGGGAAATCAAACTCAGAAATTGTAACTTTGTTAGACTTATCGCGGTACAGTGTGAGAAATATTATTAGAAGATATAGCGTAACTAGTTCAGTTAATATTAAGCCACGATATGTGAAAAAAGTAACATCACAAATGACGACCGAAGAGCATTAAGAAGAATAATCGTGAAAAACAGGCGTGCCAATTATTTACAATTAAGTGCTCTGTGGAGTGACGCTGTTGGAAGGAGAATTTCGAGGTCCACAACTCATAGAGAGGCCCACAAACTGGGATTTAGCACTTGCAAGGTAAGTTTTCTTATAAAAAAAAGTGAAGTAAAAACCCTAAAGTTGCACAACTTGTTTATAGGCCAAAGGAAAGCCACTATTAACTCCACTGCAAAAGAAAAATCGGCTTAGATGGGCTAAAGAACATAGACAATGGACACCTCAACAATGGTGCGCAATACAATGGAGTGATGAGGCCCGATTCGAAGTTTGTGTTGGTGACAGTCGCAGTAGAGTTATTCGCAAAAAAAATGAAGCATTCCATTTTGACTGTCTGAAAAGTGAAATTTCCAGCATCCATTATGTACTGGGGCAGTATATCATCAAAAGAAGTAGGAAAACTTTATTTTATTGATGGAAATGTGGATACAAACAAATATTTGGCAATTTTAGAAGAATCGCTTTTACCAGTGATGGAAGAATGTTTGACATCCGGCCAAGATTTTGTGTTTCAGCAAGATGGTGCAGCGTGCCATACCTCAAAAAAGGCTATAAAATGAATGGAAGAAAATAATGTACTACTTTTGAAATGGGTTTCTAACAGTCCAGATCTGTCACCTATTGAGACTTTGTGGCACGAGATGAAAAAGGTTCTACGACAACATATTGCTCGTACAATCACCAAACTGACATAAAAGCTTCAAGAAATATGGGATTTTTTACACCAAATTTTTGACAAAACTTGGTTAACACGATGCCCCAAAGAATTTCAGCCGTAATAAAAAATAAAGGTGATGTTACCCAATGGTAATCTTTCAATTGTTGCTTTGTTAACTTCGTGCATTTATTCGCACATTGTTTATTTGTTCAGATGTTCTATTAGTTATAGGTCTAAGTGATTTCAAATATGTATTTTTTACGACTAGAGTGTATCTAAAATGTTTTTGAGATAATAAATTGTTTTAGAAGTAAATAGTTTCGTCATGTTTAGTTTATAAAGGCATATTTTGGTACAAATCTTGAAGTGGGCCAACTGAAGTGGGAACATTCCCGCCCTGTGTCTGGTATGCTTCACTGGCGGATCGCTTTCCAAGGAAACGGGATCCTTTTGAGCAGGAATATATGTTACTTGGAAGGCAAAGACCGGCAGGGAAAGTTCGCTCTTGGAACCTGCACAACGATCTTAACAGTGGCATACTCAGAAGAAATACAGTAGTAGAGAAGTGACCCTGTTTTTAGTTCAGGGACACAGCGGAGTGCCGGGCAACGAAAAAACTAATCGCCTGGCCAGGCTGGGAGGCCAGAAGCACCTGCATCGGTTCCGAGTCTAGGCTGAGCATAAGCAGAAAAAGCGAAAGCGAGACGACTCCACACAGGCCAAGAAGTTGGTAGCGGACCCCGACAAACGTTAGACGCGCTGGCTACTGGACAGGAGTAGATAATCATTCAACCTTCTGATGGAGGTTTTCAACAGTTACTGCAGACTGAACACTTATGCCTTTTAAGCCCCATGTATTGCGGACCCAGTGCTGTGATATTCGGGACTATGGAGTTTGTTAGTGAAGTTGCTTACTCAGCGAAATGGTTGGATATCCTGATCTTTATTAGGAGATCAGGAAGGTTCGACAGTTTAGTGAACTAACATGTGGAGTGGAGTAAGCCTACTTGCCTGGCCTCGCCTCCCCACCACTACTACTACCATATCATTGTTAAATATTAATATCAATGTGTGCAAAATACTGTCATACTTGTCTACATTTTTTTTTAGGATTAAAAGCTTCAGCATTCGTTAAAGCAGCTCTTACAATTTTTATCTTTTAGATAAAGAATATCTATATACTTACTGTTTGGTCCACAGTACACATTTGTCCTGAACAGGTAGCCCAAAATGATCCATGACCTAAACAGAATCATACTTCACACACAAATGACTATAGAACGCATGAAGTGCAATCTGGGAAATACTTATCCTACACCCAAACGAAAAACGAAATCTCCAGGCATCTTTGGCATGTAGCGGAAAGCTTACATACTACCTTGAGTAAAGTCACGTCAATACGTGCAACCTTTCAGAAACTACTTCGTTTTTCAGCTTGGACAACCTCGACATAGCGGTTGCTCATTACTGCTAAAAAGAGTTTCTATTTTTTCCGGCTCTTCAGTGTATCATCACATTCATAGTAAGGTAGTTTTATGATATAGATTTAAATAATGAAGATAGCTGTAGCGTAAATGTATAAATTATACATTTGAACAAAACAAAGCAACGTATAAAGCACTGATAGTTCTTTATTGTTTTGAATGTAGCAGTAAATGGCTAGTATCTATACGGTCATAGTTAAAAATTAATATACTCTGACTGGGCTATAAATAAGTCGACTTCACAAAAGCCTGACCCACCGTCCCCCAATTTTCACGCAGTCACTTTAACCAGGTAGCGGGGAGACCTGAGCCAGATCGTTTCTTTTAATGATTCGATTTCTTTTAATTCCAATTTCCGCATATTCAAAACAACAGTAGAAATAGATTATCGATTGCGATGAGCTTGATTCCTTAACCTGAACTCTATGGTATCGATAACACTTAGAGACTCCAAACGAAGAACGTTTGGTCGTTGGATGGTGGAGGGACTGCAGTATGAAACAGGTTGGAAAGAGTTTTGAATGATATTAACTAATACTTTTCTGCAAGTACAATGCCGATTAGGACATTTAAATCTTCTATACTTTATCCGATGTCCTATTGGAAATTGTGCATAAGTTACGTGTCGCGGTTGGCAGGCAATTTTAATGCGGAGATAACCCATAAAACCAATATTTTTGGAGTGAAATATTCTTCCTTCTCATCGCTAGGTTCCTGAGCAAATTTTTGGACGTTTATATTCAAATCCGACTTTTATCTTAACTGAAGGCTTTCTGATTTTATGGAACTAGATATAAACTTGTTCGACTCCTGTGTGGCCTTACTATTCGAAGTCTGTAAGCTTTGGTAGTACGGGGGCTAATTAGCAATTTCCTCCTTATTATTTAATGGTGAAATAATCCAGATTACTCGGATTACAACTATTACGGACGCCTTACTCATGGCTAGTAATTGGGCCTCAAGACGCGTAGGCTTAGATATTTTTTATATCGCTGACGACGTACTCAATGTATTCAAAGGTTTGTATGCAAGGGATTTTGACAAATATGAGGGCGAATATACAGGATGATCACCATTTGGCTCCTGCGGAAAAGCACCAATTTTGGTGTTACTCCGAAGGTGCTCAACATCTAAAAATTCACAGGGAGCTACAGAACATTTTCCGTACTAAGCGACATATTGGAATATGAAAGAATGTCGTCATGTACGTTGACTCCGCACTTCCCACATAACGCCGTTATCAGTACATAAAAGAATATATTCAGCACAAAGTAGATCAACTCAGAAAAAAGTCAGTCAAACAGGTCCATGCAATTAGTCAATAGACATTCTTTCCCTGCCCTACCGATAGCGCATCTGGAAACGTCACGTCTCCCCGATACCTAACTCGGGCAGATTGGGTACGCTCTCAAGAATATTTTTCAGGGCTAATATAATGAGAAATTATGTGTGAAATATGTCTAATAAGTACATAGAATTGCCAATATTAGGAGCGTATAAATGTACCAGCACCAAAAAAATGAGATTACCCCTCCCCAGCCCTTAACAACCCGCACCAAGTTTTTCCAACTTTATAACTTTTGAATCGTCAACAATAGAAGGTTGAGCAATTTTTACTTTTTTCGTTTTAGTTTTTTTCGCTGACACCACTGGACCGATTTCCAAAAGCGACAAATATTTTGCGTCACCCTGGCATAGTAGTTACATTATGTAAAAATATCATCAAAAACTGAGCGGCACTTCTCAAGTTATAGGCGGTTATAAGATTAGCAGACAGACAGACAGAAAGGCAGACCGACATACAAACAGTCAGACAGACCGACGAAAATGAGTGACATGGTTTTTCGTGATGCACATGTCAAACAACATCCAAAAAAAGTAATATCTCATTTTCGAAAATTTTCGCGATTACAATACTTCCCAGCCAGTAGGCGTGAGACGTAAAGCAGTCGTTCGAGCTGGGCGGGTTCAAATCCCGTTCCAAGAGAATTTTTGTTTGTTTGTGATTGTCCATAGTTGGCAGATGGTATCAGAATGTCAAGCGTGGAGCTACCACCTGGCGAATCTATAAGGAGGGGCCAGAATGTGTATACGTCAGATGACAGGCTCGGCTATTTAGGCGGTGGTTGAATAAGTATAAAAATGTCCGTAAATGCCTTGTTCCCATAATACGATGTGCTTGAGCTTATCCGACCTTTGAAGTTCACCTAATACTTCTTGAAAACAGATTGAATATTACGATGCCTTTTGGTACAGTGAAATGTATTATCAAAGATCATATGAGCATACTGTTTCCCAAGACACTATATAGCTTATATGTTAAGGGGAAAAAATATAATACACGACCGGCAAAAAGTTAATGCCAGTATTTTAAAGCCTGGAAACTGCCTTTTAGCGTTTATCGTTATGACGTACTGTTTTCGGAATAAATGTTGCTTTGTTATTATAGAGAGTTTTTATAGATCTTGTTATGATCTTCCTTAGTTAGATTTTGCGCAGTAACGAAATAAGATAGCTCCGTTAGTTACCAAGGTTATATTTTCCTTATTCCGCGCTGTGGCCGGAATTTGTAAAGCTGGGCGAGCTTACTCATGATAATTTCAAGTTATGAAATCACATTGGTTAAAATATAATATACTAAGTGACATATAAATCCGAACACCCAGTTTAAATGGTTTTATTTTAATAAAATTTTGTATAAGTACTTAATGAAGCATAATAAGTAAATGATAAAAATTTCAAAATGATTGCACTGCTTTAAAGCCCTTTGACCTTTAATAATGTGTGGATGCACCCTGATGTGCTACGCATTATCCAACGCGCCTAGGCATGCTTCTGATCAGGTGGTCCTCCTGTGGTATCTCATTCCAGGCAACCACCAACTCCTCTCGAAGTGCTTCTAGAGTCTGAGGAGAACGTTGCAAATTGAGCAATCTCCTACCCATCATATCCCACACGTGCTCAATTGGGGATAAGTCGGGAGATCTTGGTGGCCATGGTAACAATGTGACATCATTATGTTGAAAGAAGTCTATTGTGACTCTTGCAACATGTGGTCGGGCATTATCTTGTTGGAAAGTTGGATCTGCCAGGGTGTCAAGATAGGGTAAAAGATGGGGTTCTAGAACTTCGTGGATATAACGCTGCGCGTTCATGTTACCTCTGATGAAGATTAAAGGTGACCTGGAACCATAAGCTATAGCACCCCAAACCATAACTCCAACAGTGTGATGAACATGTCTTTCAACAAAAAACTGTGGATTCCTCCTTTCACCACGTCGCCTTCTAACCCTTGCACGACCATCGTGCATGCCTAAACAAAATCGAGACTCGTCACTAAAGACAATACGGTTCCATTCCTGATCCCAGAGTGACCGTTGTCTGCACCACTCAAGGCGATTACGTCGGTGCATAAGGGCCCGCTTAAGCGGCCTATGCACTGGCTCCTTATGGTGGCCGGGATGCCTCTAAAATTCAAGATTCATTATACAAAATTTTATTAAAATAAAACCATTTAAACTGGGTGTTCGGATTTATATGTCACTTAGTATAGAAATATGAGTTTTAGATCATGGATAAAAAGAAATAGGCAGTGTTCTAAAAAAATGAATTGTCCTGATTTTTGTTATACTTGCAATGTGGCAATGTAGCCTTTTATTGAGGTTCTGCTGGTTTTGTAATCACTTGTACTTCTTGGCTCTATATTCTAAACCGATTTGAACACAGATATTATCGATACTTGAGTAACTTTTTGAGATTTTGAGATTAGCTTCACGACAAAATCGAAAAAAATAAACAACTAACATGACTATCATTAGACAATACTGTCAAATAACCACGGTTCGCTTTAGTGGTCATAAATACTATGTTTTCGCCGACTTTCGTTATTCGCCGTCAAAAATAACGGAAGGCTTAACGATTCGTTATTTTTATTGCAGTAAAAACTCCCTATTGGCAGATAACACATCAATCAGTTAATCACAACTAAAAAGTACTAATCGAGCTGGCATTTTTCAACGAATAACGAAAAGGTTGAATAGAATGGATTCACACAAGATTTACCAGAAGATAGTCAACCATCACGTTAAGATACAATTTCCGCTGTAAAGGGCGATGTTGCTAAATGGAATCATAGTAATTTTCTTAGAAGTAATAGAAATATACTGCATTTTAACTTATTTTTAAACATGACTAACCTGCCAAGAAGATATCTACCCTCAACCCACCTCCCCCTGTAAGTGTCTATAGGATTTCGTATTCTCAGAATTTGTCAGCGAGGGAAAGCGAATTCACACGATCTCCGTAATATGGCGATGTAGCGGCAACAAAATCAGTTCATAAAATACCTGTACTCCGTATTTTTAGATAGATACCCTCTATATTAGGTGAGTGATGTCATCTCACCACAACGTTGTCAAAGAATATCCATGCTATATCTTCGATCAATGTCGCCAATGGCGCAGAAATTTATAACACCACATATCTTGATAATGGAATATTTTAGGACTTACAGGAATTTGGATATAGAGGGTGCTTCCTAACTGAATCTCAATATTTAAGAAGAGGACTTCATATGAACGTATGTCTTAGCTTTTGGGATACAGAGTTGCAAAGTTCTCAAAAATAAGTAATTTGGCATGCCAATTACTTTTCATACAATGAGAAGAATGAAATCTATTCATTTTCAAGCAGATGTGATGTATTGATTTTTTTAGTCCGACTTACGGTTTCTAGAGAAATAAAATCTTTGTCTCTGCATGGTAATATTGTCATATCAACGATATTGTTATCATCCTGCAGATAAAAGGTTTTTATTTTTTTTAAGCGCATACGGTGCATCGGATTGAAGGGTTTAGACAACTAAATTAGCTTAACAACGGTCAGGGATTCCAAGAATAATTGTTATTTTAAGTGAAATCAATGGCGTACCATCAATGACTGCCAAAATAGGCAGGTGGATTTCCGTACGAGCACCACTGGTAAGAATAAAAAAATGCGGTACATTAAAAAATGCCACTATAAACATATTACCAAATTTCATTAAAATATCTAAAGTGTGATTACATATAATAATAAATCAAGTATCAAGTAGTGAAAATCGCACCCTTACATTTTTTCATCCAATCAGAAATCATCCTGCAGTTTCTGCTCTAGAAACAATGTTACCGCTTTTGAGCCACTCCATATAATAAAATCTTCACACAAGTTTGAATAGATTCACTTAAAAAATATCGCCACAATCATATCTTTCTTTCCAGATCCAACCAGGTCCGCAGGCAGCAGTACCCCATCAAGACGCAATGCCCCCCTACCAACCGGCCGCCCCAGTGGCGTACCCCAATCGCTTCCCCCAGGTTCCCCAGGATTTCCTGAGACCGGAGCCTAAACAGGGGTACAGAGCTCCTTACGAACCCCCTCCCTACGTCGCAGGACAAGCGTTGCAGCAACAATGGGTGCCTCATCAGACCAATCAGGTTATGCCACAGCAGCAGCAGATGCAGGTTCAATATCCAGTTGGTAAGTAAATCTTCTTGCTTCCCACGGAACTATTGTAAGTATTGTAAATTTCGAAAATAAGATGTTATGTTGTTCGGATGTTATATTACATGTACATAATGAAAAACCATGTCAATCATTTCCGTCGGTTTGCTTATCTGTCTGTACGCTAATGCTTGTCCCGCTATAACTTGGAAAGTACCGCTCGGACTTCGATGAAATCTTAAACAAGGTTACTACTAGGCCAAAGACGAAAAGGCTTTGTAATTTTTGGAAGTAGGTCTGGTGGCGGCGGAGCTAGAGGCAAGTAATTAAAAAAGAGGCTCCTGATCGTTTCTCGAAACATTTTTGTAGGGATCGAAAATCGGGGCTGGGAGTGTTAAATTTTGTATCTTTGGTATCGGGAATTTGTAGTCCCCACTCCTGTATTACGTAACTAAAACATTATGTAGGTTTTTCCGAAAACATGTCACCTTGCAATCAGTTGTCATTCACTTCATGTTCACTTGTAGTAGCCGTGCAGGTTGCCTAAACGTCACGACGCTTGAGCTATACGATTCGACTCTAAATGGATGAAATATCTGCTCCAGAGATGGGACTAGTAGGACTACTAGATGTTTGGTTTGATTCGCCCAGCAATTTAGCGCAGCACTGAGTAAACACCCACTCACCTGAATTCAGCTTGAATGTAGGTTTCCTAAGTGTGGGAATGTCCTTTAGTGTGGTTGTAGCAGTTGCTTTTCCCTTGATGGATTGGCAGACCGTAGTGTCTGCCGTGCTTTTCCTCCATAGTTCGCGCTCATAACGACTAGGTGCGGAATGGGCTAGCGACTACTTAGTAGATAAGTTGACATTAAACCGAGTTTTAATGACATATCGACTTTTACGCAATACCCCTGCCGGTAATATTACCCACCTGTTAGACACCATATCTTACATGCTTCGCATAATATTTACGTTTGTGACTCCAGCAATACGATCTACTCAGGAAGGCGCGATATCCTTTACCTTCGGAGGGTCTGATCCGAATTCAGTAATGCCAACGGTGCCTCAGCCGCGGCATTATTGGCGTCGTCGACGACGAGCGACGGTGTAATATTAATAATCATATTATTAATAATGATAATAATAATGACAATATTAATAATGATAATAATAATGAGTGGAGGAACAGAATAGAACATAACATCCAGAACCTAAGGAAGGACCTGTCTCGGCTTTCGTATCTGCGATGTGTAAGAAATGTTCGTAGTCGTATGAATGAACAGTTTAATCGGGGCATACGATATCCGAAGTACAGAAGACCTGGGGACAAGAAAAGATGAACTCAAACAAAAGATCTCTGCAAAGGCACAGATACTGAGAAAATACTAAGGGTTTCTACAGGAATCTAATATACTAAGTGACATATAAATCCGAACACCCAGTTTAAATGGTTTTATTTTAATAAAAGTAGGTGAATGTATTTATATTACTGTAAATAACAAGTGAAAAAATTTTCAGCCTTATCAGTTGGACATTCCGGTTTTTATACGGCTTTTTTTTAATTCACTAACGCTCTAAAAATGAATATTTCAGCCGCAGTAAAGAATCAACGTTGGCGGATTTTGGTTCTTGACATCCTTTACGATCGGTTACGATGCCTAGAGTACGGAGACCTGTACGATTTCGTCAACTTAGTGAGTTTGATAGGGGCCGTATAGTGGGACTTCGGGAAGCTGGACTTTCTTTTCGGGCAATTGCAGTTAGAGGGCAAAGAAGTGTAGACACTGTGGTTAGGTGTTGTCAGGCATGGCTTCGAGAAGGCCGTACGCAAAGAGCAAAGGGCACTGGACGCCGCCGTAGAACAACAGACCGTAAAGATGGCCGCCTAAGGTTATTGGCCTTAAGGGACCGTTTCTCCACTACCAGGTCCATTGCAAATCATTGGTTTGCAGAACACGGAAGACCTATTGGCATGCGAAGTGTTTACCGACGAATGAGAAGTTTTGGCTTGTTTTCATACCGGCCACACTGGGTCCTCCCTTTAACTCGAGAACACCGACGTAATCGCCTTGAGTGGTGCAGACAACGGTCACTCTTGGATCAGGAATGGAACAGTATTGTCTTTAGTGACGAGTCTCGATTTTGTTTGCACGATGGTCGTGCCAGGGTTAGAAGGCGACGTGGTGAAAGGAGGAATCAACAGTTTTTTGTTGAAAGACATGTTCATCACACTGTTGGAGTTATGGTTTGGGGTGCTATACCTTATGGTTCCAGGTCACCTTTAATCTTCATCAGAGGTAACATGAACGCGCAGCGTTATATCCACGGAGTTCTAGAACCCCATCTTTTACCCTATCTTGACACCCTGGCAGATCCAACTTTCCAACAAGATAATGCCCGACCACATGTTGCAAGAGTCACAATAGACTTCTTTCAACATAATGATGTCACATTGTTACCATGGCCACCAAGATCTCCCGACTTATCCCCAATTGAGCACGTGTGGGATATGATGGGTAGGAGATTGCTCAATTTGCAACGTCCTCCTCAGACTCTAGCACTTCGAGAGGAGTTGGTGGTTGCCTGGAATGAGATACCACAGGAGGACATTGACCACCTGATCAGAAGCATGCCTAGGCGCGTTGGAAGAATGCGTAGCACATCAGTGTGCATCCACACATTATTAAAGGTCAAAGGACTTTAAAGCAGTGCAATCATTTTGAAATTTTTATCATTCACTTATTATGCTTCATTAAGTACTTATACAAAATTTTATTAAAATAAAACCATTTAAACTGGGTGTTCGGATTTATATGTCACTTAGTATACAAGAAAAAATACCTTAAGCCCTTACCACATGCATACTGTGGTCATATTCGGTACAGCCCACATCCATAGAAAGGTCATAACAACGTTTAACGTAAGGGGTATGGTATACCCGCGGTTTGATGCAGAAAGTAAGCCAGTCGTCAACAAACAATAGCTGAGATGATAATAATGATACCAGGGCGTACGAATGTTGTTCAGATATTATGCACCATTTATAGTAAGAGTAGATTATTATAACAGAACAATATAACAGTTTAATTACGTTCTATAACCTCTCCAGCTGTAAAGGTTTCCATGGCCGGCGAATAGTAAAGAACCTAGGAAAGTTTGCTCATAAATTTCATCATAATTCGATCGGTACTTTCCAAATTATATTCAAGCCAACTATTAGCGGATAGGTGTACAGGCAGATAAACAGACAGGTCGACAGACCGAAAAACCGACAGATCGACAGACCAATAGACCGACGGTAAAGAGAACATGGTTTTTCGTGACGTACATATCCTTGCAAAAAACGCGAATACAATACTTCCTCGCCAGTAGGCGTGAAAAGTAAGAAACGTAGCAGGAAAAAATTGAAAAAAAAACCAAAATCTGAAACCTTAATTTTAATTTTTTGCGACTACAGTACTATCCCATGCCGTATTGGTAAGTAAAGTAAAAACAATATGAAGTTATTGAACAATATTTTAGCATTTCATAGCTGTTTTGCAATTTATACTATCCTAACAAAAAATGATGTTCGACTTTTTTTTATAGGCAAAAACTCACGTATGTTTGGTCACAAAGAAAATAACCTTCAGATACAAGACCCTCATGAATTAAGGTAAGCTCACACAATCGGGGTAAAAAATAGTTTTTCGATTTCGTTTCTCCGATTGATTATCTTTCTGGCTTGCGAGATCCTGTAATTTAACCTCGCTTGGCATTTTTGTAGGGAGTCCTCAAGAATAAAGTCTGTTCAAACAATCCGAGGACGAGTAATGACTGGAGCTTTTAGTTGAATAATTCTGATAATATAAACAAGTGTGCTGCTTTTTTAAATAGTTGGTCTTATTTAAACACAAAAACCAGGATTATTTATTGAGACGCCCTTAAATTATTTCAAGGTCAACTGTTGCTTTTAAATGAAAAGCTCATTTTACTTGTATTGTAATAGCGAAAAATGTCTAAAATCAGATATTATATATTTTTTTATGTTTCCACTTCGGTGTTTTCGATGCACTTCCATTAGGATCTGATGAATCCAATAAGCAGAAACATACGTCGCTCGGATTACCAATCTTTCTACTCCTGCTCCTTTATTGCGGACATGCCCACGATTGTCCTTTGTTTTTCATCTACTACTGGGTTGTCGGAAAAGTCATGACGTATATGCAACAAAGTATGCAATTGCATGGTTGGAAGTACGTGAGTCAATGACATTTGTATGTTGATTGTGTAGTTTGACAGTTGACACTTCAAGCTTCATTTGCACCAAAAAATTAAGTGATTTATTTGAGTCTCGTCGATTTTAGAGGACGTTGAAGATGGACGACCAAACTGTGCATTTTCGTCACATTTTGCTGTATTACTTCCGCAAAGGCAAGAACGCAAGACAAGCGTGTGAAAAGTTGAGAAAGGTTTATGGAGAACATGCACTACAAGAACGGCAATGCCAGAGATGGTTTAAAAAATTCCGAGATGGGGATTTTGATATCCATGACGCACCTCGATCAGGGCGGCCTACTGAGTTGGATAGTGACGAATTAAAGGCATTGGTAGGAGCAAACCCACATTACACCACACGGGAAATTGCAGAAACCTTAAAAATCCATCATTCAACCGTTCACGACCATTTGAAGAAACTGGGATACGTAAGCAAACTCGATCGTTGGGTACCACACGAACTGAGAGAGGTTCATTTGACGGCGCGTGTAGACATCTGCGATATGCTCCTTAAACGTGAGGAAAACGATCCTTTCTTAAAGCGCTTGATAACGGGAGATGAAAAGTGGATTGTTTACAACAATGTGGTTCGCAAACGGTCTTGGTCCCGAAGTGTAGATACGCGTAACACGATCGCGAAAGCAGAGAGTCATCAGGAAAAGGTGATGCTCTCTGTTTGGTGGGATTTTAAAGGGATCGTGTTTTTCGAACTCCTGCCAAAGAACCAAACCATCGATACAACTGTGTATTGTCGGCAATTGGACAGTTTGCAACAATCCATCATGCAAAAACGTCCGGAGCTCATTAATCGCAAAGGAGTTGTGTTCCACCATGACAACGCGAGACCGCACACAAGTTTGCTCACTCGTCAAAAGTTATTGGAGTTAGGATGGGATGTGTTACCACATCCAGCATACTCGCCTGATCTTGCCCCATCTGATTTTCATTTGTTTCGGTCGCTTCAAAATGCCTTGCGAGAAATACGCTTTACTTCAGATGAAGCTGTACATCAGCACCTTGTTCAATTTTTTGCCGGTAAAGACAAATCCTTCTACGAGCGAGGAATTATGAAGCTGCCTGAAAGATGGCGAAAGGTCATCGATCAAAATGGGCAATACATTATTGATTGAAGTTTGTGCTGTATATGAATAAAATGGCCTTAAAATAAACAAAAAAAAGCGTCATGACTTTTCCGACAACCCTAGATTTCCGCAAGACTACTTGTCTTTATTTATATTCATTATATTACATGACCAGCTGTAAAGGTAAACGGTTACGGGTATTCAAAGCCTTTGGCCTTTTCCACTGATATTGATTCTACTATTCGGCCTTATGTCAAGGTACGGGGATTTTTATATTCGGCAAGCAATAAATATACCAGAGCATACAAAAGTTGACTCAGATACTACGAGTATACATGATGTATACTTATACAAAGTCAATTTGTCCAGAAGTGCGTGGAAAGTACAGAGTCAACCTACTTGACATCATTTTTTCATACCGGCAATATAAATAACGGAAAATTGTACGTCCGAATTTGTATTTCAATTTTAGATCTGAAAGTCACACATGTGTAAATCTAGGGAAAATTCCGAGAGGTTTAGCAGGATTATTATTGATGAATAAAATGAAGGTCAATTTTTCTATATCGGTTTTACAGTGTGCAAGAGCAAGGAAAACAGCTGATTCTTCCTGTCATTTTCTTGCAACTGCTGAGGTATGGCGTGAAAATCAATAAGATGGATTTTTTATATAAATTTGACTACAATTCTGGTAGCACAATTAGTAACTTACAAGTTATCAATTCATGTGGTTGTGTGGTTATATTTAAATGTTTAGACGTATACCTAGGTTTGATTGTTTTGATTTTGGATGGTGAGCGACTAATTTTTGATATTAAAACCATATGTTCTGGAGAATAAAAAAACATAATTATGAGTTTGTAGTGAGAGAAGGTTGGCTAATCTTGCGAATTTGAATCGAGGACACAGGGTCGTCTTGGAACAGTGATTTAATGCAATTATCTTGCAGACAAAACAATGTCGTCTTGCAACTGCAAGAGCTTGCATACAATGGTCTTGCGGACTGTAAAACGTTTTTAAGTATAATGTCCCCTTTTTAACACCGGCAATCAAACGAACGTAAAATTCTGTCCGAATGTGTTTTAAAATCTATGAGTGAAGTTAAAATATGTGCGGCTAGGGGCAAATCGTAGAAGTTTAGCAAGGCTATTGATGAAAAAATCAAGGTCAGACCTTTAGAAGCCTTGGACAAGGTTTTCAATATTAACATTGAATTCGACCTTAAGGTTAACCTGCCTTCCGAAAGGATAACATATAAAAAGCCCGTCGGGAACTGCTAATAGATATACTTCATTGGCAGCATATTCAGTAATGATTTTTTCGCACAGCAAATATCACTGATTTTATACACATGTACTCAGAGACTCAGAGATAAAAACTACAGACTGCTCGGCTTCACAAAACATATGCAACCAACAGTGCGTGCAGTTGAGTCATTCCTCCATAGATGGACGCTCACAGCGATCCTAGTGAGCAAACGTGGAATGACTGTTTGCACCCTAAGAACTACCTAGTCTGCAAGTTACATCTTATAGGTTTTTTTTAACTTTTATAGGTTTTTTACATAATACCCATGCCGATCTTGCCCTTACACGCGGTTCTCCTACATTTGTTAGCGATAGTATAGTATATGACTTCTCTAAAGTAATGGAAAAATAAAAGGCAAAGCTTATATTTTTGTATATTAAGCAATGTAGACAAAATTAAAAACAAGTGTATAAATAGTGTTTTTTTTAGTGACGATGCTTACTAAACATGCGAGGTTCCGCTCTTCATACTGTTCGTAGTTCCGATATTTATGGATAGGCCGGTCAACATACTAAAATTGAAAAATAAGATCATTCAACATATACGGGGTGGCCCATCCATGTGAGGACAGAGTATTGCTTCTAAGCAACAACTTTTCAAAGACAACTATGGGTTATTATACACAGTGCTTCTTAATTGAATATCACTATTTAAAGAGCAATTTTTGGGTTCATTTAAAAAAACTCCATATGCACGTATATTCCAAGTGTCTTAGCTTTTGAGATACTGGGTGCTACCGGTTTCTACGATTGTTCAATAAGTCAAGGCGTGACAAAAACATTTATAAACAACGTATGAAAAGTAGTTATAGTCTTTTTTATGTTCCTTGGACAATTGTACTTCTGATTAGTCATATATTATGGGGACTAATACTCTCCAATTAAAATCTGTGGCTAATGGAATTCTGTCCAAAGCCAACCCCCCCCCCCCCCTTACATACATACATACAATACTCTCCAAGGACAGGACTAGCGAGAAAATGGAAAATTTGACAAAACCCCACAATTCGCATTTTCTCCGAACTTGTGAACTTTGCACGTATCTTCAAATCGAATCGTTCGACAAACGACCCTGAAATTTTACAAAGCTTCATGCACCCGTAGTACTTACATGAAATTTGAGCTCTGTAGGTGATATGAACCTCCAAGCCAAGTAGTGCAATTTTGGCTTCGATCCAGTACGAATCTTCAGTTTGGCAGTAATTTTTTAATAATAAAACTGCCGTTTGGTATTATGATTTTGTATCATTTTCTTTCTTTGGCGCTTACCTAATGTCCGACTCCGATATCTTCATCCAATCAGAGTCATGCCCTGGCAGCAACATCTCACTCTTCCATTTTTTCATATAATCAATGATAGTCTCATCTTTTCTGCTTTTGAGTTTGTGTTCCATCAACCATGGGTGTTTGAGGATTTCTAGAGCAGTGCTACGTTGAACTGGGTCCTTCACCTTTAAGGATTCCAATTCAAAAATATAAATAAACTTTTTTTCGAAACAACCAAAGCTGTCAAAAATCTCTAAAATTCCAGAATCTAAAAAAATCCAAAAATTACAAAACCTCAAATATTTCCAAAATTCCCAATATTTCCAAAATTTCAAGAATTCCCAAAACTTCCAAAATTTAATAAACCTCCAAAAATTCCAACAATTCCTGATATTCCAAAAATCCCAAGATTTCAAAAAATTCCAAAAACTCCAAAATTTCCAAATTTTCCAAAATACCAGACAGAAAACGTAGAATTTGACCACTGGTCAATTTTGAGGAAAATTCGTATAGTGATAGTACATGTGCTGATGAAATGTCAAAGATTTTGGTGCCTTAGCCCCCGTGGTTACGTCTGCGTACCATTACACGATAACTCGTCTTCAATGTACCCCGCCGAAGTCCCAAAATCGGGATAAACGAAGATGAAAATCGCGATCATAAATGATTCATATCGGAGAAAGTACTTACTGGCAATACATAACGGCCCCATTGCCATACCCTTACGTCCTTAGCTGTTCCAAAGTGTGAATGCCTTCATCAGGGATTATTCCAGAGAATGCTCTAGCTATGCATACTTTACGTTATTAGTACCTTTATACTTTTAAAGCATGGTCAAACCAGGGTAAAAGTTTAGCGCTCAAGCCACCTGACCCGCCAAAAATGTAGCAGTCCGATCTAGCTCTTCATTTAAGCATTACTATATTCCTGACTACGTAAATGAAGTGGCTTCGTGGTGTTTATGTTCCCCTGAAGGGGTCGGTTTTCTTAGGAAGATACAATCTAATTATAATTTTTGCTGGAGTTATTTGTTGTTCGTAAATCATTTATTGCAGGCAGTTTGAAACCGTATTAAAAAAGCGTCAGAGAGGTATCGTGTTCCTTATGTCTTGTTGTTTTCACTCCTTCGAAAATGGCATAAACAGATAAGGACACCGCCGATTTTTAGCTATGAGTTATATCAGCCGTTCCTGCTGATATGATAGGAATACTGCCGACGATGCTACTAATTTCCTAGAAGACCTAGAGTTTACTTTATTGTTCTCAACACATTTTACAGTCAGTCAGATTTAAGCCTTTGTACTGTTTACATCATAATAACATTGTAATAATTTTGTAAAAGTACAGTTTTGAGTTTTGTATTTTCGAAAAAATAAACTTTTTAAAAAGCGATCTCGAAGCATCGATCTTATAACTGGCGCAGTCAATCCAGTAGGATCAGAAATACGCGACCCGGGAAAGACTTTCGCAAACCGTCGCGACGGGACTTTTCGGGACTCTATCCGGCCTTTTTGGACTTGGTGGCATTCGTGTAGTGGCAGTGAGCACTGGAGTGGATTCATATTTTTGGATACCCAATCCATCGAGGAACCGGCGTGAACAGCTACATACGAAGGGCATCGGAATTTGGGACCACATTGCCCAAGTTCGCAAGGATTCCAGCCTGGGGAAGACAACATTGCAGAACCAGCTAGGATCTTTATAGGAGTAAGAGATGCTAAAGATCGCTTTCTTAGTGTTGTAAGTGCAGTTTATTTTTTTCCATTTATCGCTTCAAATTTCAATGAGTATTGATATATTGCAAGCCCTTGAGAATTTGGACCTTAATACTGACTCTCCAAATACTCGACGGTACTCTAATATACTACGTGAGCCCATACTTTCACAAGTCCCTGTACATTCAATACCTACAAGTATTACTACAACTATGGCTACTTTTAGGCCCGAATACTTAAGTTGTGTGCCCGAATTTGACGGCAACAGTAACGATCTCAATCGATTTTTGCGTGTAAGCAAATCCTTGATTGACAATTTTTATGATCATTCCAATCCAAACAATTTTCAAAATACATTTTTATTGAACTCCATTCTTTCAAAGCTGAGAGGACATGCCAAATCTTTAATAAACATTCATTCAGTGAACACCTGGAGTGAACTCGAAACCTTATTAGTTACTAGTTTTTCTGACCAACGTGATGAAGTGTGCTTACATAGAGACCTTTGCTTACTAAAGCAATATCAAAATGAGAGCCCTAAAAAATTTCACGAAAGATGTTTGCATATTTTAAACAATCTGTGTAGCTACGTTAATATCCACGAAGCTACCGAAAGTGGTAAAGCAATAAAACGCGATTTGTATCAAAAACTTGCGTTAAAGACTTTCCTTTCAGGCTTGAAAGAACCATTGGGCACCACTGTCAGGTGCATGAAACCAACCTCCTTGAGCGAAGCTCTTCAATTAGTGATTGAAGAACAAAATGTGCATTATTTCCAAAACGTTTCATATAGAGTTAAGACAGATTCACAGAATTTTACAAATTTTCAAAATTCGCAGTTCAGACCTGCACGCCCAGTTAATATGCCTTATCAAAATTTTAATTCTCGTACGCCTAATAGCTTTTTCCGTGCGCAATTCCCATCTCAACCCATCCAAATTCAACCTAGGCCAAACTTAAATCAGCGTTTCCCGACTAACGCTGAAGTCTTTGGCAACCAACAAACAAAGAATCCGAATACAAACGTTTTTAAGCCCAATTCTTCAAATCCAAGAAATCTTCCAAGGCCGACACCGATGAGTGTCAGCACAAGAAACACAATACGTCCACCATTCGCTCCAATTCCGGCGAACACACCTCGACCTCAGCAAAATTTTATCTTTGAGGAACTGTATAACACCGAGTTAAATGATAACGCAACATATGAAACTTATGATACAGGCAATTTTGCTACTAACGTCGAAAATAATTACGATGAATTCTATGATGACCCCAACCAAAATATTTGTCAATACGATCATTACAATATCGATCAAAATAATGAACTTGACATGCCCAACCCAACCTCGACGTCAGGAAATGGAAATTTTCCCCCAGCCAGCCAGGTTATTCAACCGACATAAACAGTGAAATTATATCGTTCAATGCTAGCAACACAAAAGGATTGAGCTATATAGTTTTTCCCGAATATGACATAAAACTTTTGATTGACTGCGGGTCTACTAGGTCATTTATAGATCCAGACATCGCATTCAAATATTTTCCACAACAAATCAAAAATGAACCATTCATTGTTTCGACTGTATTTCAGAAATCCGCCCATAAATTCAGTACTTTAATACCAGCATCCAAAATTTTCAATTTGCCTCATCTAAAGGAATTAAAATTTTACTTGTTCAAGTTTCATGATTTTTTCAATGGTTTGATCGGTATGGATAACTTAGAAGAATTACAGGCAAGACTCTTATTTCAAGAAGGGTTTCTTGTGACACCGTATGCAAAAATCAAGTTGCTTTATCAAAAACCTAAGAATAATTTGAATTTTGTTACCATCGAACCTCGCACTGAGCTTGTCATAAAAGTTAAAACATCCATAAGCGATGGCGAAATTATTATACCCCACCAAAAAATCCATAATTGTGAAATACCGGAATGCTTGACTATTGCGAAAGATAGTTATGCTTTGACGACCTTACTGAACAATACGACAGATACCGTTACACTCGACTTTTCTGAACCCCTTTCTGTTGAACCATTTTACCAGTCTATACATCCGACGATATGTCAAGAATTTGATCTTAATAATATCAACGATTCTCCAGAAAATAAACTAGACTATTCCAAAATTAGAGTAGACCACCTAAATTCAGAAGAACAGTCCGCAATCCTCAAACTTTGCAAAGAATTTTCGGATATATTTTATCGTGAAGGCGAACCACTAACTTTCACAAACAAGATAAAACATCAGATTCGAACTACTGATGAGATCCCAATTTATTCCAAGACCTACCGGTACCCCTTTGTTCACCGACAAGAAGTAAATGACCAAATCCAAAAAATGTTGAAATCGAACATTATTAGGCAAAGTAATTCGCCATATTGCTCGCCCATTTGGGTTGTGGCTAAGAAGATGGATGCCTCTGGCAAACAGAAATGGCGCGTCGTAATAGACTATCGTAATCTTAACGATAAGACTATTGATGACAAATATCCACTTCCCAATATAAACGACCTGCTGGACAAACTAGGAAGATGCCACTATTTCAGTACGTTGGATCTTGCTAGTGGTTTTCACCAAATAGAAATGGATGAGAAAGACATTGAAAAAACAGCATTTAACACCGAAAATGGCCATTGGGAATTTTTGAGAATGCCGTTTGGTCTTAAAAATTCACCAGCCACGTTCCAACGAGTGATGGATAACATCCTCCGAGGAATTCAAAACGAAAAATGTCTCGTTTACCTCGATGACATTATCGTATTTTCGACGTCTCTTCAAGAGCACTTAGAAAGGCTACGATCTGTCTTTACCCGACTACGCGAATCTAACTTTAAAATTCAGTTAGATAAATCCGAGTTTCTAAGAAAAGAGGTTGCATACCTCGGACATATAGTAACTCCTGAAGGCGTGAAACCTAACCCCGACAAAATCTCAGCAATACAAAATTTACCTATACCAAAAACAAATAGGCAATTAAAAAGCTTTTTAGGACTCTTAGGCTATTATCGGCGATTTATTCCAAATTTCGCTCAACTCACGAAACCTCTCACTAAGTGCCTCAAAAAAGGCGCAAAAATTGTTCACGACGACGAATTTGTATCATGTTTCGAAAACTGTAAGACATTACTTACCAACGACCCAATACTTCAGTACCCAGACTTCACAAGACCGTTCAATTTGACAACAGACGCAAGCAATGTAGCTTTAGGGGCAGTTCTTAGTCAGGGTCCAATCGGTAGTGATTTGCCTGTAGCTTATGCGTCACGAACCTTAAATGATTCGGAAAGAAATTACAGCACTACCGAAAAAGAGTTGTTAGCTATAGTGTGGGCTACCAAATATTTCAGACCTTACCTCTATGGGCAGACCTTCAATATTATAACAGATCATAAACCCCTCCAGTACCTTTATTCATTAAAGGAAGGCGTCTCCTCAAAATTAATGAGATGGAAAATGAAACTTGACGAATATAATTTCAAAATCATCTATAAAAAAGGCAAACTCAATACAAATGCTGACGCTCTTTCTAGAATCGAAATTCATACTAAGGAAACTAACGATTTTTGGGAACAACTCGATGACTTCCTTGGAGAAGCCTCCAACTATCAGAATCAAAGAATTACCTTTGTAGATCAAAATTTAAACACACCTCCCACGACACAAGCTAATCCAAATTCACCACTGATAATTCAAGATATTAGCTACCCCAATTTAAACCCTGAACTAGACGATATCTCAATGATTGTCAACTTGGACAATGAAACAGATCAACCTGACTGTCAGGAACTTCCTACCGTTGACAATACAAATACTGACAAAGATATAATCAATGAAACAGAACAAACTGACTACCACGAACTTCCCTTTGTTATTGACAAAACCAATACTAATGAAGACGAACTTGACAAAGATGATGAAACCCGGCACTCTGATAATCAACACCCGGTTGTTACAATTCCTATATCAGACCAACCATTGAACTTTGGCCAAAATCAGATCGTAATTAAAACGGTCCTGCACTCTCCCGCCAAGCCGAAAATCATAATTTTATTCGAGAGAAAACAGCGGCTATTAGTGCAAATTTCAAAGAACAACCTTGAATCAGATGTTGTAAATTTTGTCAAGGAATATATTGTACCCGATGTCCCATACTATATATATTTCGAAGATCCTGACATATACGAACCCTTCTCAGGCGCTTTACAAAAGTATTTTAAATGGCCCTCTATCAAGTTTAAAAGGTGTCTTGAAAAACTTCTAGACATCACTAGTAATGATGAAATTAAAAGTTTAATACAAAATTATCATGAAGGGAAATCAAATCATCGCGGGATCGATGAAACCTGTTCTCGCTTAAAACAAAAGTACTATTGGCCAAATTTGAAAAGTTCCGTTCAGTCATACATAAATGACTGCGAAATCTGTCAACAAGCCAAATACGAGAGACACCCTGTTAAAGCGCAAATGAATATCACTCCCACTGCTGTGAAGCCATTTGAAATAATTCACATGGACACATACACATTTGAAAAATCTAAATTTTTGACCATTATCGATAGTTTTTCAAAGTACGCTCAAGCTTACCATCTCAATTCAATGACAGGTACCGAAGTAGCTGACAACCTTATCCGATACTTTTCCCATCATGGAATCCCGACACAAGTTATTACTGACAATGGCACCGAGTTTAAAAACTCAGTCATATCCGAGTTATTAGGTTTACATGGAATCGAAATACATTTCTGTTCCCCGAACCATCCCCAGTCAAATGGCGTAGTCGAAAGATTTCATTCGACAATATCTGAGCAACTCCGAATTTTAAACACTCAAGGCTTTCAAAAAACATCCGTCCAAATGAAAATGATATACTCAATCTTAGCATACAACAACTCTGTTCATTCTGTGACTAAATTAAAACCCATCGATGTCATAAATGGTCATCTCAGTGAAAAAGATACATTTGACATCAGCTTAGACCAAATTTTGTTGAATGATTATGTAGAACAACACAAAGCACGCAGTAAGCTATTATATACCAAAATCAACGAGGCGCTTGTTCAAAATAAAGAAAAAGTAATAGAAAAGGCAAACATAGCTCGAGATAGTGCAAAAATATTTCAACCAGGTCAGAAAGCATTCGTTAAGAAAAATATACGTCAGAAAAATGCAAATAAATTCCAAAAATCATGTACACTAACATCAGTCGATCCTGGTAAAAAGACCGCTACTACTGATAAACACAATAAAGTACATATCGATAATTTGAAGCGTCCCCTTCGCAAACCATATTCATTTAGCAACTAAATGTTTCTCTCCAAGTACGACATACATACATGTAGGTATTATTCATTTGCAGATTCCTGCAAGTAACGGTTGGACTTCAGGATAGCATAACTATACGTAACCTCGACAACAATCCAGGACTACTTCCCGTGGAAATTAGTGAAGCAAAAGTAAAAGACTATGACTTTTCACTCATTCATTATTATGATATGAATCCCATCATTTCTGAAATTGAAAAATTATCAATTTCCTCCTCACGTATAGCAGAAACCATTTCTTCAAATTTAAATGTCACTACATATTTGACCAATTATTTCAGAACATTAAAATTTGTTCAGCGACAGGTAGAACAAAAGTTACATAATATATTTCCCCATACAAAGCGAGGAAAAAGAGGCATATTAAATGGCATTGGGTCGATATTCAAATCAATAACTGGAAACCTTGACGCCAATGATGGCGAACGTTTCGAAAATCTAATTCGAGAGCTTCAAAATAATCAAAGAGAATTGACTAACAGTGTCACACAGAATAATGCACTGTCAGTATCTCTTATTGATAAGTTCAATAAAACTGTTCAGCAAATCTGTCATAATGAACAATTGCTGAATAATAAAATTAATACCATATATGCAATTGTTCATCGTACTACAATCGATTCAGATCAGCATAAATTCATAGTAGACACAGTATCTCAAATTATGAACAGCTACGAAGTAACTCTGTCAATATTAGAAGACGTTGAAAATTCAATAATTTTTGCACGTCTTGGAACAATTCACTCTAGCATTATTACAACCGAAGAAATTTTTGGTGAACTGAAACTATTGAGCTCAAGATTAGGCCAGGAAAAATTTGCGATTCCAGTTTTACTAGATAACATACCAACTTTTGAAAAAATAATCAAAATCTCCAGTTATTCTGTGGGCAACAAAATTACATTCGTTTTATCATTCCCAATCTCGTACCATGAGTCATTTAACTTATATCGTCTCTTTCCAATCCCGATATATTTTGAAGGTCAATTTAAGACTATCATTCCAAAGGAGCCTTATTTGGTAAAAAATGAATTGCACTTTGCACTTTTCGGCGACATTTGTACTGAAATTACTCCTAAAAAGTTTCTCTGCGAGAAGACCATCTTGCGAGACATTAATGGTCCATTACCCTGTGAACTTGAACTATTCAATGGAAGAAACGCCCCTGCATGTGCCCGAACTCCACTGATAATCAATCAGCCAAGTATCGAACGAATCCAACGGACTAATCAATGGGTATTGATCCTGCCACTACCAGAAGTTATCAAAATGGAATGCCACGAAGAAATTCAAATGAAAAGATTGACGGGAACTTACCTACTTTATATTCCTGTCAACTGTCAAGCCGAAATTAATCACCAAATCATCAAAAATGAACCCGAAACGATTGTCGCGGGCCAACCTATAATATTCCCGGATTTAAACCTGGACACTAAAGGCGACATCACAGAAACAAATTTCAGTCTGCATCTAGAAAAAATTAAGCTAGACGAGTTAAGTAAAATCAAGTCAAGCATTATCAACAACAAACCCAACTTCAAAAAACCTACAGAATTTTTTATACCCAGTGCCTGGACACTGATAATATATGGATGTATATTACTCTTGGGTGTCTACGCATTCTGGAAAACCATTTTGAAGAGGAGGAAGCTCACAAATAGAAGTATTCAACAACCAGAAGTCGAACTTCATCCTATTCAACTTCCTTGAAGAATTCTTCCCCGAAGTTGAATCTCAGGGGGGAGGAGTTATATCAGCCGTTCCTGCTGATATGATAGGAATACTGCCGACGATGCTACTAATTTCCTAGAAGACCTAGAGTTTACTTTATTGTTCTCAACACATTTTACAGTCAGTCAGATTTAAGCCTTTGTACTGTTTACATCATAATAACATTGTAATAATTTTGTAAAAGTACAGTTTTGAGTTTTGTATTTTCGAAAAAATAAACTTTTTAAAAAGCGATCTCGAAGCATCGATCTTATAACTTATGAGTAGCTGGAATATTTTCTGTTAGGAATAATCAACGATGATCGTTTTAAAAGAGTGGCTATTTACCGCTACAGAAATGGCGTGATGGAATGACAGTAGATCCCTTTTTATGTATTGACAGTAACTATACTATTTTAGATGTGGTTTGCGCCTGTTGGAACGTTTCTACAAATTTTCATTAAAATTGACGGGAGGTCAAGTTTTGTGCCTAGTACTTTCAAAAATTCACAAAACCAGCATTTACAAAACTCACAAAAGTTTAACATTCAAAAATTCTAGATAGGCAATTTCCAGTGTCATCAAATTCAAAGTATATCTACTTATTACCAGTATGCACTTGAGTAAGTCCACAGCATCCGGAGTGAGCTCGATAGGAGAATAATCTGGATCTTTTGAGCAAATCTGATTAATGAGCTCTTCTTGGTGTCTATCAGCAAATGGATATTTGGCACACAAAAGTGTGTACAAAATGATACCAATCGACCACACGTCACATAGTTCACTGTACGTTCGTTCTAGAAGGATTTCTGGGGCCATATATAGCATTGTTCCGCACCTTAAACATCCATAAGAATAGACTACATAACTCACATCTAATCTCATATAATGAATGAGTATTTTTACAGGATTTGGCTTAGGAACACAAAATATATCCATCTCAATTTTGAAAAGCGCAAGATGGATATTAAGTCCAATTTAAAAAGCAGTAGGGAGTAGGTATTTTGTTTTTAATATGAAACGGTGAAAACAGTCGACCATCATGTGATGTCATACAAATTGTAAATAAAGGAACGTCATCCGTATGTCACTAATAGACTAACGTTATCTTCTTTAAACATTTCTAAAAAAGCTCAGTGTAGATCAGTGTAGAAAGTTGTCGTTTTCTAGTTTTATTGAAAAGACCAATCATGGGCGTTTGATTCGTAAAAGCAGAAAGCAAAAATTTACCTAAAATTGAATAGGTTACTTACATATCCCTCCTTTTTAAAAGTCATTCAAAAGTAAGCTCATGTGCATAACCTCTAATAATTTTATCTAATATTGTATTTCTTCTTACACATGTGGGCAAGGGATTGTACGGTGATAATGCTGTAGGTTACATCCAACTTAAATGAGACGATAAAATGTGGATAGTAAAATGCAGAATATGTCCCGAACATAAGATATGCTCTGAGCAATACACTGAGCGTAATATTTATTTCCCTTGGCACTCTAATCAACTGCTTTCCTGTAGTCTTTATCGATTGTGAGTTTTTACATTCCCGGACTGCACTAATGGCAATTATTATATTCTTCATATAAACTAGAAGTCATCTTATATGTTTAAAAGTTTGAAAAGTCATGCTGCTGTTAGATGCTGTTTACAAATGGTATGACGTCAGAGCCAAACATGACAGACAGCGATTTCGACTGTCTAAGAAAAGTTTTACGGTCTTTTAGGTCTGTGATAAAAATATAATATCAATTTCTTTGGTATAATATTAACCATTATAAGACCCACTTAAAAAAAGTGTCAACTAGCCTATTATACGGGGTATCCCAGAATATTTGGGTAATATTAAATCGATGTTGCTAAAACCGAAAAAACACAGAGACACCGTTTAAATTAGAGGAATGACGCAAAGTAAGTTGATTCTGTAACTACGTTTACATAGGAATCATCTCGAATCCAGTTCTAATTGGGCATACGATTCTAAATCTGGTATTCCGCCGCGTGTACGTGTAGCTTTCAGATCGATTTGAATCTCTTTTGAAACCTTGTTTAGGTCATTATCATAAGTGTCAGTTCTAAAATCTTCATTTTCAGAAAAAATGTGGATTAGTAAGAATTATCGGGTATTTTCTAGAAAGAAAACTTAAAACTAGCAAACACCAGCTTTTTACATAAATAAGATAGCAGACACTAACACTTCAAGGTTATGTCGGTCATTGCAATCATTAAGCGCAGTCGCCAATTCAGTTTTAATCACGTTGCCCGTGTACATGGATTTCAGTCCGATACGATCCAAATTCGATCCCATGGAACAGCCGTATAGACCTTGAAACTCAATGCCATAACTGAACTCAGTTCGAACTGAATCCCACATGTAAACGTGGTATGTAGTTCCCACGTAACTCTGGACAAATGGACTTTTTTTATACTCGAACCACCACGGTGTTGAATATTTGGATAACTCTCGACGTCCTCGACGACAGTGCGGCCTGGGCAGCGACAGCGTTGCTGAATTTGGATCAGACCCTCCGCAGGTAAAGGATGTCGCGTATTTCTGGGTAGCTGGTATTGCTAGACCCTATTCGTAGTCCATTTACACCCCGTCACAATAAAGATGTAGCGCGGCAAAGCGGCAGCCGCCTAAGTGTTGCAGTAGTCAGAAAACCACGAACAAGTGCAGGATTCGACAGGATAGAACTCAGGCTCGTTGTATCGCCGGCAGTTGCTGTTCATATTCGGTGCATACATAGGCGATTATTTATACGTTAGCATGTCGTCTACAGATACAGCAGATGAAACAGAATATTTCTCCGGAAGCTTCCTTCTGCCATGCTTCCTCTTTAGTGATGTCTCCTCCCCGAAAACGTGGCAAGGAGGGACACAATATTTAGGCAAAAGAAATTGTCCGTTAATATAAGAGCAAAATTTTAGAACATATTGAAATGATAATTCATGATATTGAAAGTCGTTTGGCGAACAAAACTGGCTTATGTCCTAAGACAATTTTCATCATTGTGAAAGAATATAAAAAAACAAAAAGTTGTCTCCACCACACAACAGACTGCATTACATGAAGCTGTTGATACATTTGATAACTCGGAATGCCATCAGACGCAAAGTCCGTCAATTTTTTGAAAGGCAGGACCTTCCCACCATATACAAAGTATTACAGGAGCTTAATAGTGACTTACCTACTTTCAAAAGGACCACATTCTATAGTTTATATAACTTCATTTTGAGTATAGAAAACGGGACAGAAATAGTATTTTGATGGAAGCCAAGAGATTATTTTATGGAGAAGAAATTATTTAAAATAAATAAAGAAATACCACGACCAGGGCAGGAAGATTTATTACTTGGATGACACCTGGATACATGGAAGACATACAAAACGTAAAGTATGGGCTGACTCTACAATTAAATCAGCAAGGCAAGCCTTCTTGGATGAACTAACCACTGGCCTAAAGAATCCGTCAGGTACGTATATCTAACCAATTCGTCATGTGTTGTAAAAATGTTGTCAAGTAGATAGACTAAATCTATGAGCCCATGCTGAAAATTTAGCTATATCTGGTAGTTTTGGAGACAACACTACTCTGCTTGAATTATAATTAGTTTTCTTGAATACTATATGAATTCATTATTTCCATTAAAAGGAAAACGATTTGTTACCTGTCACATTGGCAGTGAAGATGGCTTTGAACCCACTGCCCTATGGACATTTGAGTCAAATAAAACGACCGACAACCATGAAGGAATGGACGAGAGTTCTTTTGAACGATGGTTTGAAGAAACGCTCCCAAAACGTGACGACAATGTTGTCATTGTACTTGATAACGCTGCATACCACACTAGAAAAATAGAAAAAATTCCCACAATGTCCACATGAAAGGCAGAAATTCAACAATGTATTAAAAGACATTAGTTTGAATAAAGATATGGTCAAAACAGAAATTATCCACCTAGTCAAGCAGCACAAATATAAATATAATCTTAATGTTATTGACGAAATGGCTAAAAACCAAAATAAGCCAGTTTTAAGGCTACCCCCTTATCACTGCGAATTAAATCCCGTTGAAATGATTTGAGCCAATATAAAAAAACTATGTGGCTTCAACCAATAGAACATTCAAATTTTCTGACGTGACAATTTTTTTTATGAAACTGTCAACAGAGTGACGACAAACCATTGGAAATATTGCATCCGTCACGTTCAAGAGTCAATCAAAACAAAGATATAGGATCTAGACAATATGATCGATATTCAAATTGAACCTGTAATAATTCATATTAACCATTCGGACGATGATTCAAGTACTTCCAGCGAATAAAGAATTGTGGAAAGTATGCGCACTTCTTTCTATAAAAATAATCATCTATTTTGTTAGATTATTCCAAGATCATTGAGGAAAATACGGACATGTACAATCTCGCTTTTTAGCATGTTGTGTTTTGTCAGGGCGTAAATGGACTACGAATGGGGTATAGAATCACTGACGTAAATATTATGCGGAATATGTGTGATATCATGTCTAACAGATGGGAAATACTACCGGGACCACAAATTTCTGAATAGTAAAACATTTTTCGCTGATTACAGAAATGCAACATTGACAATATTCCAAGTTATAAACAGGTAGACGAGTAAATGATTGGCAGACAGGCAGACGGACCGATAGACCGACGGGAATGAGTGACATGGCTTTTCGCTATGTAAATGGTATAACATCCAAAAAACACGATATTCCATTTTGCGAATTAAATATCTACTTCTTAGAACAAATAACAGAGAGGAAGAAGAGAGTATTTCAGCTCAGGTAGATTTACCTGTCATGCATCATTCCTTGTATAAAACTTCCAGCTTTGATAACGCTCAATCCAAAATCTGACAATTTGATAAAGTATAGGTCTGTAGGATTATCAGGATTTTTGGATAGAAGAATATTCTCCATCTTGATATCTCTGTGGACAATCTGGTTCTTGTGGAGATAGTACACTGCGTTTGCCAACTGCTTGATAATTTTCTTAGTTGTCTTCTCTATAATTAATAGTACATTACATGCCTAGGTTAAGAAGTATCTTAAGTTTACTCAAACGAGAGAGTATACAATTTGTTTCAGTACTAACATAACATTCGATATTATGACATTTAAATATTTTCATTGCATCTGAAGTGCATTTTATTTAAGCATCCAAACGAGCAATATTTATGGCAAGCAGGGTTACCTATTACGTCAAAAGCCTATATATATATATATATCAAAAAAATCGGTAAAATGTCAACTTGTGCACTAGGTGGCCGGTAGTGTGTCGCAATTTCACTCAGTCCGCGTCTGCTGCAAATGAGAATGAAAAGTGAATGTCAGCTAGTACAAAGCCTACATAATGTCATAAAGAATCGATATAATGATACTTTTCAAAGTACATAATAAAGGTGCCAAAGAGTTGTCAGAACTTCCGTTCAAAAGGGCTACAAAATCAGTCAAGAACGACTGACAAAATTGTACCCATTACTTGCAACTGTCATTACTCACATTGCATTAGGTAGGATTCCAATTATTCGACAAACAGTATATATTTTTTATTACACCGAAGTAGCCTCGCAGGCAGAAGCCTAAATGCCAGGGCACCGCGGCTGCTATGAGGAGCTTAAATAAATTTTGTTAATTCGATTTTTGGACTGCCTAAGGTTAGTAGAACTGGGAAAAGCCTCCTCATGTAGATTGTTCCACAATCTCGATACCCTAGCGACTAATATGGGACGGCGAAATCAGGCGGGTCTGCCTGGCAGGAAAATCGCGCGGCGCCATCATGGAGGACATCTCTGAGGAGCAAAGCCCAGTGGCAGAGCTAGATCGCCGACGGCCCGCCGGCGCGGCACTGTCCCCAGGCTGTCCGTTAGGGTAAAGCCATTGATCAGTCGGACAGCCCTCCTCTGAACAGCATCGAGTATGAATAATGTAGTCTGGGTAGCAGCACTCCAAATATGTGAGCAATACTCGAGGCTAGGCCTTATCTGGGCCTTGTACAGAGTGAGGAGGTCATGTGGAGAAAAATAGTTTAACATCTGCCGCTATTGACTAGATGTGTTCGTGCCAGATCAAGTCCTCAGTGATCTGGACTGCGACCAGTCGAAATGAACGCTCTTTGGCAGAACTCGGCAATCCATCGAAACCGGATGAGCGCTAGGACGCTTCTTGCTCGTGAAGATATAGTACTGTGTTTTGGAACCATTAAACTATACAAGATGTCCCCAAGCAGTGATAACCTCCATGTCTCTCGTCATAGAGGCAGCCACTGTTAGTCTTTTTTTCTCCAGCTCACCGTCAGGAATCGGCTTGTCACTCTGAGTGCTACCATCAGCAAAGTTGTGGATTAGATTGATCAGGAAAGGAGGTTGTCGATATGTAAGAGGAACAATGTCGGAGCCAAAACGGATCCTTGGGGAACGCCCGCGTTGACGTTGTGGAAAGAAGAGGAGAACGCGCCAATTACGATAGATATCTTACGGTCAGAGAGGAAGTCAGCACCCATCTGCAAAGCTTCCCTGGGAGGCCATATGAATATAGTTAGAACCTGTCAAGCATGGCTATATAGTCGACCAGCAAAAATATAGCCCGTTTATAAGAGCCATTATATTAACAAATCAGTAAGTTATATATTGGCCACTCTGTAATTGGAATTACCTGAAAAAGGTTTTTTATTCTCAAAAACTTCTTTTAAGTTGCCCCTACATCTTTCCATAACCATGTAAATCTTCTTGGCAGACTCAAAAACTTTATACAAATATACTATGTTAGGATGATTAACAGTTTTCAATATCTTGATTTCTCTGTAGACTTTCGACAACTGATGTACCACTATAAAAAATTGCACTCATTATGAAAAATAAGTCAGAAGTAATATTGAAAGGAAAGCAGGTCCCTGTAGAACAACCGCAGTGACCTTATGGGGCAAATAGGAAAACCCGCTTATATATACCTTTATACAAAATCAAATAAATTCATTTTCACTGATTGTTCTATTTTCTTTGTCACTGAATATATCGGGTGTTTCAAATTCGATCTTCACTATTAGGATCTCCAAAACCGTAAGACTTACGAAGACGGTAAAATGTGGGCATAGTTCCACATTAAGGGCAACTAAAAAAAATGGTGCATTTCCTCGCTTTATTTGAAACGGGATTTTAAAATAAAAGGAACATTAGCGTTGCCACTTTTTCTCCTCTACGAGATGGCATAATTAGAATTTCAATACGACGTTTCGTCTATAGTCCTCAATCATCAATTTTATTTTCTTATAAACGCCATATTGGATTTTTACATAGATTCATAGTATTTGAATGCAATATGTGTGCATCGGTTTAGATATAAGGATATGAAATGTATTTAGAAAGTTGCAAAATTGTCGAGGCTTTTCCTCTAAAATGGATCTACCCCGCCTAAAATACTACTGTTTTCAATATGATCTTAAAAAAACATGGAACAGTTTTAGCATTCTATTCTTCTTTGTTCGTTGAGACAAGACCAACTATAAGACGATTACGTTTTTAGATATTTGATACTTTATAATACCAAACCGCCATGATATACAACACAATATCACGTAATTATAAAAGTAAATGATGACTATGCACCTATGCCTAGTGCATAAAAACTTAAGGGACCCTTGGCTGATGATATTGTGAGACAAATGACTATCTGGTAATTTCAAGGCCTACTTATGAAATCATGTTTTTTTTTTAAATAGCTACAACTTACCAATATCAATATATTACATATTATTCATTTTTGGAATCAGAATTAAGAACCTTATTCACCTTTATGAGAAAAAATAAAGTTGATAATTGAAGGCAACAGACGAAACATCATTCTAATAATGCCACCTAATAGAGTAGAAAAAACAGCAATGTTAATATACTTTTTATTTTAAAATCACATCTCAAATAAAGCCGGGAATAAATTAAAGCTGTTTTGAAAAAATCGGTTTCTGTCGCCTATTTCTGGAAATAATCTGAACTGCAAACCTTTTCGAGTGCCGCTTACTGAGTTACAGGTACGTTAATAAGCAACTTTGTCCCTAGTTAACCGACTACGTATCTTTTACCCTTTCCGAGATTCCAATGGTGAGTGTCAAATTTTAAACACCCGGTATATTCATAGGTTGTTCATATCATTGAACGTTCCATCACAAAGTTAACTATGACTTTAGAGATAAGAGTGACAGCGAAACTTTTTCTCCAGACTATTCAGAATAGTTGTAGTCAATTCTACAACATTTAGGATTACAGTTCCCCGAAAGGCGGTAGAACTACGCACACTTTCTATCAATTAATTCACTCCCTCTTGTCAAGTATTGACCCCAGAAGTATTTGTTTTTACCTGTAGAGTATTTGTTGACAATTTTAACGGCATAGTTCTCATTAGTTTGCTTTTCAACAACAGATACAACGATTCCAAAACTTCCATGACCGATTTCTTCTTGGAATTCGTAGATTTCATATAGAGCTGATACATCTTCGATCCTTACATGTCTTACGTCTCGCTCTTTCAGCGTTTGTTTGCTGCTGCTCTTCTTTCTAGAACTGTCGTTGCGCCACATAAGAGGATCAATTTTCAATTTTTCAAATTTTCATTTTGTAACGGTCTGCCAAAGTGACAAGGAATGTCTTTGCATAAAACACTGTTTTGGGATGTCATGGAATGTAAGCTTTTTGGGGTGGACATGACAAATTTGGTTCGGCTCGGCCGCGGCCTAGTGTGCTTGCGAACTTGCTCTTCTTTGAAGCCTACTGACTTGCGTAACAAAGGGTTCCTATGCAACTATAGCGTAGGTGCGCTTGTTGTAGTTCCTTAGATACGGGATCTCAAGGTCTCTGTGAAGGGTATCATTGGAGACATACCATGGGGCGCTAGTGGTTGCACGCAAGGTTCTGTTCTGCAAAACCTACATATTACGCAAATGCTTTTTGGCGAGAAAACACCAAGCCGCACTGCGCAAGTGATCGCTGGTCTGATAACCATCTTGTATAGTCAAACTTTGTTGATCAAACTTATTTTTGAGGTTCTTCATACCATAGGGTAGAGTTTCCGAAACGTGATTTAGTTCTCAACGCTTCAATGTGCTTCTGCGTTTTTCAGTACAATAGATAGCCTGCGTTTTCGAATGATTCCGAGCCACCGATACGCCCATTCCAATGCTTCGTCCATCTAACATTGCAGGCAGTCGTGAACTAGTTCCCAGAACACGACTGGACCATCAGGGCAGTATCATCAGCATAGAGATAGACAGTTTCTGGTGCAAGAAACGTCATCAATAAAAAGTGAATGAAGGATTGATCCAAAAACCGAACCCTTAGGGACACTGGCTCTGATGGGACGCGTTAAGCTATTAATTTTGTTCCGAAATTTCCTACCGTCCAGAAAGGATTTCAAAAGTTGTAGAAGTCAGAAGGGGAAGGCCTTTTGGATCAATTCGCAGAACAAAAATCTCATGTGGACTAGCGTGGACAATTTTTTAGTGAACAGATTGTTTGATTCATAGAATGAATACACAGAGAAGTCTAAGTCATTTCGTATTTGTTGTAGCTTCATAATATGATAATTCCACGCTCCTATTAGACATATTTCAGGCATTAACTTTCTCGTACAGTCGCGTTTGAGATTTACACGTACAGTGAAATATTTCCGATATATCTACCGGTAAGGAGTCGTCCGTGATGATGCGCGGGTAGTTTTAATCATGCTTGACGGTGCTGTTACTGGTTACAGGTATGGGCGGACACTAGTAATCCAATAATGTGAAAAGTATGATTGTACACTTATTAAGTCAATGTTATGGTCATTTCTGGCAGCTTAAGCATGTGTTGAGAAATTCCTATTTAAGTAGATCCGATTTAGGAAATCCCGTAGAAAGTAGACGCCTTCAAGGTTTATCAGAAATTGTATTTGACAAAAATAATTTAAAATTAAAAATAATGGTGGTCCAGCTATGCGTTGGCCTAGTTATTTTTCCAATATGGACATTATTTTATCCAGTGGAGGTGAAGCCCATAGCTATGGGCAAAAGACGGAAAAAGTTAAAATCGTCCCATACTTAGTACTCACTTTTGAAAATTATCTGAGGGGTAAGCAACATTATCCAGTGGAGGTGGAGCTATGGGCAAAAGACGGAAAGAGTGAAAATCGTCCCATACTTAGTACTCACTTTTGGAAATTATCTGAGGGGTAAGCAACATTATCCAGTGGAGGTGGAGCTATGGGTAAAAGACGGAAAGAGTGAAAATCGTCCCATACTTAGTGCTCACTTTTGGAAATTATTTGAGGGGTAAACAATTGAAAGAGGGGAGAGCTTTGTAGAGTTTAGGGGAGGGTATATTGGCACAGAAATCTTTCCAATAAAAGTAACATTATGTCGGTGTTTTTGACACTATATAGGTTTTTTATGACATTATGTAGGTTTTTCTAGAAGATATCAACTTAGAGCTAGCCGTTGTTCACTTGATGTGCACTCGATCTGTAGCTGTAAGTGTTGCCTAAACGCTTCAGCTATCAATATTTAGCTCTGATGTGATGTAACATCTGCTTCAAAGATGGAATTATTGGATGTCTAAGCTGTAAGTTATACTATACTATAGCTGGAAGGAAATGGCAGTTCATAGGTCCATACTGAGGATATGTGTGCTAATAATCTGTGTTGATGATAATTGCATTGGTTTCTTGTCTCCAATACCACACAATCATCCAGTTGTGATCTTGCTAGTCTGCTACTCAACCACACATCTTCTCAGAGATATACTCTACAAACTATCTCGGCATTCTGCAGCCAACAAAGCATGCTGTGTAACTAACTTGCAGCTGGTCATTGAGCGTGTCGTTGACTCATTTCTCCACAGATGACGCTTTTGGTTGAATAGCGGAAAGAACTGTTTTCACACTTTGAACTATCTAGTTAGCAAGTTGACATTTTTTTATTTTTTTTTTCACATTAAATAGGAATTTTACGTAGCAACCTTGCCGAGCCGTCATTGTGTATCGATGGTATCCGCCGAGTAAGTGCATAGATATAAGATGAACCCGTCGCGACCAGGCTGCTTCTCAAGTTTAGTCATCGCAAATGTGATTAGATCGCAATGTTGTCAAAAGGGTGGTAACCGGAGAGTAATTGTATGGGCATATTTGAATCATTTGATTCATTTGATTTTTCTGTTATACATGTTCGTAGCTTGTGCCAAACATAATCATTTATAAACTGATGCCAGCATTGTGTGGGAAGTTTGGGGTCAACCTTCTTGACGCAATCATTATACGCTCAGAATAGAGATAATCAGTGCTCAGAACTAATTGTCTTTTAATCTGTAACCTAAGGTTAAAATTGCCATATACGTCACATTATGTTACATGGTTTCTGAACCAGAACATCTACGCCCGCATAGGGAGCCAGAGCGGCAGTGGCCCTCGTGAGAATTATATACACTTTCATATAACATACAGAATATACATATAAATATATACAGATTCCGGCCAGTTTTGAGAAAAATAAGCACTTATTTTTATATTTTTTCAGCCAGATGCAATATGGGGATCCAAACATAGGTGACTATAACAAACTCAACGGTGGTTACTATGGGGACAATTACAGGCAGCCTATCCAACAAGAGAGCTGGCCCTCAGCAGGTATAGTTTTTTAATTTTATCTAGTTAAAAACTTAAGTTATCGCGATAGTCTGTTCTTTTTTAGCTTTAAAATTAGTGGTAAATACGACTTGCTTCATATTCATGATGTTACATTATTGCGTTGCTTTTTCAGATATTAACGGCTATAACAACCAAGGGTTCTATCAAGAAAAGGTTCATCAGATTGAAGGTAAAATACGCTCTAGGAATAAGACAGCGCAAAGCGCCATCTATTACCAGACGTCTGCGAAACTTAAAAGCAGCTATGGGTTGGAATTGTAAATATCTCAGTCCGCGTTTGAGAGCCCATTCACGAGTATGACCGCTAGATAGCTGACGATTTTGGCTGTATAATAGTTGTGGTCAACTCGCCATTGCTGATTTCGGTCGTCCGATCAAAGACAGCCAACGATGGACAGATCTGCGATAGCTGCGCTACACTCTCGCAGTTGTCAATTCTGGTAATATATGGCGCCTTACGCTGTTTTATTTTAATAGATTTCAATAAATCTCATACCTTGGATAGGGGATAGTTGCCATGCTTTTGATCGTTGTCCCAGAGACCACGCCTAGACCATGTTGATGAGGGACGGACGAAAACAGCATGTTTAGTTAAACTACCATACTTTCAATCCCTCCTATATGAACGCATATCTTAAATTTAAAACAACATAATTATTTATATTAAGCAATAATTTTACAGATCAGTCTAGGAAAACCCCAACTTACAATTCTCAGCCCATGGAAGTACCTGATGCTAAGCAAGACTCAGGTATGTAGAGATAATGTTATGTATTTTCCAACGAAAAGTTTGCCATACGCTCAAATGGTTGGTATATTTCCTTTTGAAAATACTGAGAGATGACAAATATTCTCGACTAAAAACCACTAACCGAGCTGCTGCTCTAGTGCGATAAAGTACAGGGTGCGGCCGAACCAACTAAGCCGTTTCAGAGTTACAAAAAAGACATCTGGATCTATAGAAAAAACGGCTTCAAATAGATTGACTCTGCACTTCCCATGCAACGCCGTCATCAGTTCATACAAGTTTATGTTAAAGTTACTTACAAGCATCTACAATAGAGAAATGAAATGGATCAAGTCCGTCAAACAGGTCCCTACAATTAGACCATAGACATTTTTCCTGATCCACGCGTAGTCCGTCGTCTCTCCCTAATACCTCTCCCAATAGCGAATACCTAATATCGTACAATGCGACAGACGCGGCAGCCCGACAGAGCTCCAGTCATGCGGGGACACATAAAGACCGGCACTACGGCCAGTGAAGCCAGGCAGCAGACTCAGGGACGCATGTCGAAAACATTTTTCTATCGGTCTAAGGGCAAATGTACGGGCCAATCTATGGTATGTGAGATGTGTCTAATAGGTGCATGAAATTACTGGAGTTGGAAATGTACTGATATACTCACATCAAAAAATTGCAATACAACCTCCAATGTTTTACCACTAATTGATTTTTAAAAATTGACCAGGAGTCTCTGAAGCATCGAAAAATGAGATTTGAGCGATTTTTATTGTTTTCGTATTTTCACCCTAGCTCCGCGTCTGCCGGGCCGATTTTCAAGATCTACGAAGCGTTTTCGTCCTTTTTTCGTTTTCATCTTGTGTGAAAATTTCATCCAAGTCCGAACAGTACATTTTCCTAATTATAGCCGAACCAAGGATTAGCAGACAGATAGACCTACAGACTAACATACAGACGTAAGTTAGTGAGATGGTTTTTTGTGATATACATCTCATATAATATCCAAAAAGTATAATATCTCACTTTCGAAATTTTCCGCGATTACAATACTACTGTGCCAGAAGATGTGGGAAGTTTGTACCAATTCACATTTTGAAAAAATGTCTTCATGATGGCGGCCATGAACAGCAACACGCCCCTGGAGACTACTCCTGAAGCTCTGAACACCGCGAGGTATAGAGTTCACTTCCACAACAATCCGATTTTTTGGCTCTATTTATTCCTCCTTTAGTGGGGGGAGGTGCAGCTCAGTTACCCAGTATGGGATAAATATTTTGAAGGAGGTGTTGCCTGGACTTGGAAGGTGATATGGGGCGGTCTGCGCGATCACCATTTTTGAGCATCTGTGACTTCTTTCTCTGGGGATGTCTAAAGGAAAGGCGGTTAGGCATCCTCCACATACCGTATTAGAGGGTGGATTGCTGAGAAGTTGGGAATACCCCACGATGTGTGTAAACGAGCTTCAGGAATAGTCTCTAGCAGTGAGGTGCTGATAACGGCCACCATCTTGAACACATTATTTTCAAAATACGAAATGGTATACAGTGTAACGCTTCCTTTCCGCAAAAAGTCCAGAAAAGATGGAATGCAATGAAGATTCCAACTTTTCTGCACAATCACAGAAAGGGGGTTACCATTAGCTTCCGGTAGCTCAGTCGGTGGCATGAAGACATCTACAGGCGTGTAGCTGTGTGTCGACCATGGCATGGCTAGAGGATAGAAGAACAAACAGAACACAAAAATTTAACAGATTTTATTTAACAAAAAAAAAGGCATTTTCATTACATTACAATTTTACAAAAATAACAAAATAAGTTTTACATCTTTGGCGCTGCTATAACGCTATCGACTTATCTTTCGCTGGTCCATTTTTACTCGACTGAAGCCAGGATGGCCAGGGGCTTGAAGGGGAGGTCCCAGTTATGAGGGGTGACCTCCATATAGTGGCTTCACAACCAGTTGTAGGCGAAGTTAAAGGCGATGGCGCTGCCAAGGTACATGCATGGGTGAAAATATTGGCCAAGGCTAGGCAAAGTGAAAGGGAAAGAGAAAGGGGGTGGCCCCAATCATTTTTGTCCTATACGGACACACATTCTAGAAAATTCTAGCACATGGTGCTATATAACCTTGTGCTACTGAGAAGAAATTTCTAGCCGTTGTTCGATCGGCGGCTCAAGTGAAAAGGAAGCGCGAGGAAGATCGCAGATCAGGAACTCCGCATCAAGCGCTCCAAGCGGAAAATTTTCCAAGCAAAAAAGCTAGAGATGGGATTAATGAAATGATAATCGAGAAGTGATTTAATAAATACGATCGGACGGTGAAACCGTTACACTCGCCCCAACTTAACCAAAAAAAAAAAAATCGAAGAAGCATTTAAGAATTTTTTTTTTTACTAGGAAATTGAAAGTTATCACGGAAGGACAAATGTACAACCATTCGACCAGATAACAAGTAGTAAAAGTAAGGTAGAAACAAAAATGTTAGAAGAGAATTGGAAGAAAAAGGGATAGCCTCAAGTCTACCAAACAAGAGAGATGGTTATAGCACCAACTCGCTGAAAAGTACAGTGAAGTTGCACTTAAAAAAACTATCATCATATGATGAAAAACCCAAAACATAAAACATCGTCATACCTAAGACGAGAAAAATAATAAACCAAAAGTTTCAGCAGTAGTCCAAGCACGAACTGAGGAATCACAATGGCATCCAAAATGCACGACTGACTACTAAAAACTTCAAAATTAAGCAAGTACCTAAACCATAAGAGGTACTAAAAAAATAATAATAATTTTTCTCAAAACAATTGCCAGATTATCTCGCAATACTCCAAACCCAAAAAGAATATCATCTACAGTGATATTTTAAACCAATATCTAATATAAAAAAAACAGTGCATTGCTATTTTCAAAATATGAAAATCAAAAGAAATTAACAAATTCCATTAGGAATTCAAATCATATAACAAAACAATTTACAAGTACTAAACCAATGAAAACTTGATCAATAAGGTATTTTAATCAAAAAAAGATGTTAACTGAGTGCAGTTCTGATTCCACCAAAAAAAATTGTCGGGCGCCAGCAGTCTGTAAGACTACAAAATAATTCAAAATATTTTCAGAGAATTAAAGTATATAAGGGACATTCATGAAATATTGAAGTAAGATTTTCAAAGTCAAAATATAGCTTAAGTTCAATCAATGAACTAAAATTCAAGAGTAAGTTCAATCAAAATCTTCGGGTCATGTGACAACATAAGAACCAGACCAAAAAAAAAATTTGAAGTACAATATAGAAAAGAGCAAAATAAATTTCCAAAAAAACTAAGTGCAACACAAGTGCAACTGTAAATCTAATAGTGTTAAAATCATAAAGTGAAAGGAAATATTAAAGCTATATGAGCATGATTTTATAAAGGGTTCTCAAAAAAATTTAAAAGTAAGCAAAATATTAAAAGTTTCATGAGTAATAAATGAGAAACGAAGTGAGCATATGTAAAATGCAAAATAGCGAAACGAAAATCACAAGATATTTTATTAAATCATGATACATGAGAGTAATGCCGCAAGCAAAAATTGTATGCAAAAGACTACGATATATGTAGGTGCAAAATTGGAGTTATAAAAAAAATCTAGTGAACAAGAAATAGAAATAAATATGATAGGTAAGAATTCGAATTTTGATTTAAAGCAAAAATATGAGAGAAAGACAACTTTCTAGGGTCACTATAGGTGCATTTCAAAGCCCTAGACAAGAATGTCTATAGTCTATGGAATATTCTCATGTAGATCACTGATATCATCAGCGCACTTCAAAGTCTACACTGAGAATAACCATAACATTGTAAAATGAAGGTTAAGTTCAAATATGAAATATTACAAGATTAGAAAAACTATAATAATTTACCAGTGTGAAGTATGAAAAGAGAATTACTATACTGAATCTATAAGAATTGGCGATTACTTCAAGTCAAGACAGAAATTGAAAGAAATAAGAAGCCGGAAAAAAGATTATGAGAGCAGACTATCAAAACAAATGCAATAATGCAAAAGCAAAATCACCAGATATTTCAAAATCTATAGCGAAACATGAAAGCAATGTCGCAACCAAGCTCAAGACTTAGCAATACGCACAAATGTGCACAAAGGCTGAAAGCATATATGAAAAATCTCAAGAAGGAATTGACAATTACTTCAAATCAAATTGAACTGATTGAATTGAACTGAGACATAAATAACTATATCAAAAGTGAGTTTTACTTATACGCCAGAGGTTTCAAGAGTTTATCAATACGCACAGATTTGCAACTAGGCGGAAAGCATATATGACAAGTCTCAAGAAGAAAATAAAATGCATATGAAGAAAACACTTTCAATTAAAGAAACTGTGGATAGTACAAGACCCTCAAAGGCATACATCGCAACGAATCTATGTAACTATCCAGACTACAAAATACTGTCAAAGTTCAAAACCACTCAAAAATATGTGGACAAACATCAAAAGTTTGAATCAAAAATCAATGTAAGTTTGTGCTCTCGAAGAAAGTTATAATGAATTCAAAAAGAGGATATTATCAAAAACTTCAAAAGTAATAGACTTCAAAAATAGAGGTACCTAAGTATGTAAAAGAAATTCAGAAAATATACGCATAAAAACATTATAAAATATTATACACAGTATCTGTCACATGATTTTGATCGGGAATGCAATTTAAATTTTGAGTACACTCAGAAAAATGAAATATTCAAAAGATGAAGTATACACATTAAACTGGATCAGAAAAATAGTTATGACTTGTAAATTTTATAAATGGTGGACTGACGTAATAGTTCAAAAGGTTGAAAGAAAAACGATGACAAATGTCCAAAGTAAACATTCAACTGCCTTTTACAGTAAATTAGCTTAGCAATTATCAAAGGAAATTCTTATCCGTTCGCATCTGTACTAGGAAATGAATATAGGAAAACCTACTCGCTCCAATGTACAGATCGAAAAACTCGCCCCCTTCG